AAAAAAAGATAAAAAAAGAAAAAAAAAAAGACTCATTCAAATTCTCTTTACTGGAGGAATTCTTCTGGAGAACAAGCTTTTATAAACCCATGGATTTCAGATCTACAAGTTCCTACATTTTTATTATCACCTACTGTGGTCAGCTTGTTTGAGCCTTGGATGCCAAGTTATCTCTAGGTAATCTGATTAAAGTTGTGTTTTTTACCTTTAGTTTTTTACCTGAACAGCAAGAAAATACACAAATACAATGGAGATGACTACTATTAGATTGACCCAGATGATCATCTATCTGAATAATTTTGCTCAACAACATTGCAAAGACAGGATACATAACTGATGGTTCTGGGCTAACACCTATAGTTACCTTTACTATGGCTTTTACATTCAAATTCCTTCGCATTCCTCACATAATAATGATAAACAAAATATTTCTGCAAAGGCTCCTTTGGCTGGTACATTTCTTGGACAACTGCTGAATCTAACTCCCAATCCATACCTTGCAGAACATGCAAACCCCAACCAACCTTTCCCTCTGCTGTGTCCCATAAAACAACCAACCTCCAACAAAAAGTCATTTTTGATTCATACACAGACATGCTGCAGGATGCTATTTCTGTAGAACTAACATGGCTTACCCACAAGCCTGAGATATACCTGGATCTGTAGCTCCTAATTTCTCAAGGCCATCATCTAGAAAAATTGAGGTGCTGTTGAATACAACGGTAAAGTCTTTCTGCCTGATCTTATAGACTGGTCCCCCCCGTTTTATTTAACTAGTAGAGTTGAGCAGAACAGCAGACTTGTAATTGGTTTCAGTACAAAGACAGTACGTTTCTTGCAAAAGTGAGGATGACTGATCATTGAAGACTTGAAGATAAAACGTGCTATCAGATTTTTAGCAGATTCTAGGGAAGCAGAGAACATTTGTCCCTCATTCTGAGTTTTTGTTACTTCTCTTTTCCTATTAGCCTACCCTGTTGTAACATCTTCTATATTATTCTCCAGTTTCTTCCCTTATTTCTTCTCTTTTATGTAGAATAACCTCTCCAAGCTATTTCCCCACTGCATTTTGCAAGTCAGTTATGATAGAGCCAGCACAGAAAACCCCAGAAAACAGTTAAATACTTAGCTCCATTCTTCATCAATGGGAAGCAAATCATTGGCTAAGCTAGAAGAATGTTTGGCCAGAGACCTTTCAGACTAGTAAGGAACAGAGGAACAAAGCAAAACCATGCTATAGTTCCTGACAGGAACACTCAGCTCCACAGCTGGTAGCTGTTTGCTAGTAAAAAGACCCCTTCCCATCTTACAGGTGTCAGCTCTCCTCTTAGATTTAGAGCATTTGACTCTTGTGCCGCTCAGCGTCCTGACAGATGGGAAGGAGTCTGGGCAGTTTATACAATAATCCTGATAACTGACAGGTTTTTGCCTTCTTGCAGATGGAACTGTAATATTTAGGATGACAATTTCTTCCTTTGGCTGTGTATCAAAGAGGTACGATATACTATAAAGCTATTCTCCATAACAACAACAAACCCCACTATTTTTTTTGAGAGAAGTACTGCAGTATTATGCATTTACCCAAAAGCATAAGAAATAAGCTGTTTTTTAAAAATTTGGTGCTTTAGCAAGGATTTTACCTATCTGCAGAGAATGTGGTCATCCTTTCTGAAAGACAAGCTAAATTTATTTCCGATTTCTTAAATCACCTGGCAACCTTACCTGGAGCTTAACAGTAACATTTACTAACATCAGCTAAATTTTATGGGCACCATGAGAGGTTTTGATGCCAAACATTGGCAAGGGTTTTCCATTTTGCTAGAGTTACACTTTTACGGTAGATTTTATGCTTTTAATAATAGTTATCCTTACCATTTTCCAATCTGTTTCAACCTTTCTCCAAATAGACTCTGCCTTCCAAACACCTGTTTCCCAGCCAGTTATTTTTTCATTATTATTGGAAATCCGTGTATAACTGTCTTCTACTATATTGTAGATGAGGTGGAAGAGTTTAGATGTCTTCTCTTTTTCAGAGGGAATAAAAATTACTTCTTTTCTTTTCTGAAAAAAGGCAAAAAATACAAGCACCTTCATTCCCCAGTATATTTCAGTAAGACTATGTTACTTTTAAACAGCATGTCATGGTTTCCCAATTCATTTTTGCCTCCAACTGAAAAAAAAATAAATGCCATTTTTAAGAGAGTTCATGGACAAAAGCATTTCTGCAAAACAGAAGTTTTACATCAGTTTCCTACAATAGAGCTGCACCTTTTCCAGAGGGAAGCATTTTATTTTTAAGATTTCCATTATAATTACTTTTAGAAGTAAATTATTAACAAAATAACATAAAATTAGCAAATTTAAGTAAGAGAATAGAAAAGTTATATGTTGAGTGTATTTCTTGTACAATCAATAAGTAAATGGTTATTTTGAATAGCAAATGTCCTGTGACTATCATATACACGTGCTTATATATGAGTTTACAAACCAACTTCAAAAAAATTCAGCTACAAACTTCACAGTATTCCTTTTTTTTTTTTTTTTAAGATTTGTAATTGCTCTTACTAGTGTCAGCAGAGCAGAAATTAAATCTTCTGCACTATGGAGAACTGAAATAAACTCACAATTTCTCATACTTAAACAATCCTATGAAACTCATTAATTTCAGCTAACCGGTTCTATTTAGGATTGTCCGTCATTCCACATGACGGGACCACTATAAAACTGAGGTAACAAGTGATAGGGTAAGTCACACCTTTGCATGTTGGCTCAAGTTAAATATGGCTATGGTTATAGGAAATTCTATCTTAACACAAAAGAATTAAAAATAAAATCTTGCTTTCAGAAATAGTCAAAAACATTGATATGAAAATCAATTGAGCTTATTATTTAAGAGATCGTTCCATTTACGCAATCCTTATTGCTCCCACATTGTTTTATTAACAAAAATAGTTGGTAAAAACCTACTTCCAGGCTTTAACCAACAGTAGCTAATAATACAAATTAACACTTTTAAGTTTTCCCAACTGCTTTCAACTGCCTTAAACTTTCTAGTTCTGTCACACTGTAACTAATTAAAAGGAAAAAAAAAAAGTATTTTTTTAATTAACTTGTAAGAGCAAAACACACTTTAGATCAAGAATTCCCAAACATTTTTAGTATCAACGGACCACCATTGATCCTCAAAAATTACTTGTGGACCTCTACTGAATTCACATCAAACTTGCACCTAATGTTTTTGCAAGTTTCACTGTTTGAACTAAATCTGTAGGCTACCTACCATGAAGTGCTATTCCTCTGCAGACCATAATCATAGAACCTCTAATTCACTACCTCTAAGATGGTCACCAACGCTACCTCTAAGATGGTCACCAATGCAAAAGTTAAATACCTCTGGACCAGTTTCACCTCTGGCTACTCGCCAAGCCATCGAACCTGATGTCCTTCCACCATATTCTCCGGGTTTAGGTGTTTTAGGAGAAATAAATTCAACAAGCTCCACAATTGTTCTTTCCAAGAGCTCTCTTTTTCTATTTTCTGACATAGATCGTTGTCTCTGAAAACACATTTAAGAAACAAAGTAAAAAATTCAGAAAAAATGTATTTATAATTCCGCTCTAGAGTGACAGCAACGGGGGAAAAAAAGAACTGAAAAAACAGCCTAACATTTAAAGTCTAGACCGGCTGTTAGAAACATTAATCTTATACCACTTGTGCAACTATAAATCAGTCATAACTGCATGGTTATTCAACAGTGGTGCTTTTTCTGTGAACTTTATGCACTAACTAGGTGGATTTCTTTTAAAATAAAGTTTGTGCTATGTGAAAGTTCAGGATCCTCTCCCCGCTTTTTATAGGGGTAACACACAATGGACTGGAATAGGACAGTGCCCACACAAAGTAGGCGAAGAAAAACTTTGTAGTCAGGGTGTGATATGGTACTATAGAATAACATCAGATGGTTGGTAAATCGCAGGCTATGCACCCAATTAGGAATGCCTGATTCAAATAAAACACAGTATTTCTGAGAAATAAAATAGCATACTGAATAGATTAAATTACCCTTGCCTCTGTTCCATTTAACAGTGAGAGGCACTCAACATCCTTTGAACTGTTGCATTGTCTCTGCTTGGCCACTAAACAGGCAGACATGCAGAGAAATAATGATCAGAGCTGTTGCTCTTTATGCAGAAAAGCATAATAAAGATCTCTTAGATTCCATTTTCACTAATATTGCAGTATAGGTGATGTATACTGCATACTGTGCTTCTCTTTTATTTGTAACTTAGAAGAATTGAGCTTGAAAGATGCTGTGCTGGAACTCTGCATCAAAAGATACCAAGACTATAATCCCTCCTTAGTGGGGAACCAGTCTCTAGGAGATGATGGGAGAAGGGGAAGTTGGTGGAGGCCTCTGCCTACATCAGTGCTGAATAGACTGCCACAAAGGCAACATCATACTAGCTGAAATGGAGACTTGTGACTGAACAGTGTAATGGAAACCTGCTATAAAATGTCTTGATAGTTCTAGGGGTGAGCTGCCTTACCCCTCTACTGACTGCAGAAGCTGCTGAATACGACACAGAGATCCTCAGACAGCAACTTTTTAATGGCCCCTTAATTCCCACTGCATTGTTGCCCTAGTATGAACTTTAGGAAAAGCCCTTTGACTAGGACAAATGTAAGAAAGAAAAACTGTTCTTTTAGCAATCTGATGGCAAACAGCCTGTAAGTCCCTGCAATCCAATCCAACTGTAATAGACAGAAGAAAAAAGAAGTAGGAACAGTTACTTATGGGGATTAAGTTTATTATCAATTTAATAAATAAATAGATCAACATGCAGCACCATTTGTTGGAGATGGAGCTCTCTAGACTTCTGTAAGTCAAACAGAGCATGATCCTATGGTGGCATGATTGAGGTGAGAAGGTGGTCAGGCAAGCCAACCCATGAGTCAGTTGCCTATACTTTCCCAAATCTATCAATCTTGTCAGAGTAATTTTTCAACTTACTAGTGCCCCATTTCCAAGGTGCTCTCTCCCTACAGAGAACCAGTGGGGGAGAAGAGCCTGGTGACTGGTTTCTATTGTCAGTAGATCAGAAGACAGACCCCTCAGATCAGTTTTGTAGCCAGCAAGGGTTCAATGCTCAGAAAGAACACCATTAAATCCCTGCAACCTTGCACAAAGCACATGCATTCAACTTGAATTTCTGATCTTTTACCTCCTTTTATTTTGCTGCTCTGTGGTCAGTCTTCTCAGTGCTCCACTTTGCTATGTGACACTAATTTTTCATTACTGATAACCAGAGCAGGCCAGCAAGCCTCTAAAAAGGGATAATCTGTTTATTAAGCCATCAACTGCATACTATCACAGGAACTAAAGTTTCTATGCACAGGAATTAGCTGTGGAAGGAAGTAGGGACAAAATGGAACCTTAAAGGTGGTTCAAGGTTTTGTGGTATTCTAGTATATCAAGTCAAGAAGAGTTTGCCATGTCTCAAGTAGGGAGTGGAAAAAAGCTTAGCAGAGAGGTGCCAAGTACACGTGGGTTCTGTGACTACGACACGCAGGTGCAAACAGCTCCATGTGTTCTGGGGATGTTAGGGATGAACAGTCTATGTGGCTCTGAGCCAAAAGTTCTACTAATGGTATCAACACTTCTTGAAAGCGTTTGGAACAGACCGTGAAATCATTCCTCCCGCTTCCTAGAGCTTGTAAAATGTCACGAAAAACATGTTATGCGTACATTTCTTATAACTATAAATACTATTGTTTTCAAGTTATAGCATTATTGATATGGAAAATGCTCAGCCACCCTCAAGGAGTCCACCTAGTTACAAAGCAGTTGTGGTTTACCCCCAACATCTGTTGATGCACAAGCCAAAGCCATCAAGCAAATATATATACACACTATGTTATATATATGCACACACACTGTATATACTATATATACACATACATTTGACCACATAAGAGAGAATATGATAATCCTTTTACATACCATTCTTTATTTTATTCCACCCAAGTTCAGCACTGTGACTGATTCTTATGTATTTAGTGTAAAATGAGGCCTGTAGAGTTTAGCAGCATTTTACATTCCACAGCACATGGACATTCCTACCAGGTTACCAAATGCAATCTTTTGCTCAAGGACTTCACGTTCTGGAAAGACACTTATGTTTCACTTAAAGAAATCCATTTAAGAAAAGCTACATACCCTTTTATTTAGTCCGTTAATTGTTTCACGCAGTGTAGCTTCACTGAGAGCTGTCCTTCTAGAAAGTACTTCTTTATGCTTACAGCTGTATCTCCAGGTGACATCAACAACCTCAAGCACAAGTTGAAGAAGAAAATAAAGCAAACAAAAAATTATCATGTATCTTGCTTCATTTAAAGAAGCTAGCTAATCAAAGTATGTTTTTCTATAAGAATTTGGGAAATCACACTAAGATGAAATACATCACACACTTGCCTCAGGGCAAGTTTGTTTCTTATTAACATCATTACTCCTACCTCATCTTTGGAGAACGCAATTATGTAGGAGAGCTTCTTTCCCCACCCAGTTTCATAGAGAAGAGGTTTATCACAGACATTTTCACAGGGATCACAGTGAAGCCATCTTTTCTGAGACGAAGAATATACTTCAGTCCACACATGATCTACATAACAAAGGCCAAGAATAAACAATTAATTACAAGGTTAGATCCTCTCTTTAATGTTGCACAATATTGTAACTTTTCCTGATTTATTAAATGAAGGAACAGGTAAAAGAACATGTTTTCTGTTCATCTACATTCAGAAAAGTTATCAGAGCTTTCTCTTTCTCTCTTAGGATCGTGTTCCCTAGATTCAAATAAAGATTGTATCATTCGAAGTCAGTCATCGAACCTTACTTGCAGAACCATATTTCATCTCATCAGGCAAGACAGGAAATTGAATTTATATTGTCTTTGTTTGCTGAACCACACAACTTTATATGCTGCCTGATGGCTAATATAACCTGAGAACCATAAAATATATAACCTCATTTTGCACGGGTTTGTTTTAACATTACAATATTCTAGAATACTGATACCTGTACAGTCCCAGACATATCTAGCTTCAAACCCTACAGCTCTGCAACACAGTGTAAAACAGTTAGCCCACTCGCCACAGCGTCCACATCTGGTTTCCAGAAGTTTTTCAGGGTTGTTATACCTACAGGGGAAAACCAAAACCAGAATAATTGAAAATACATTTCATCTTTCAGAATCTTTAGATCATGACTGTCCCTGTGACAATTTAAACAGATATCAGTACCACTCAGTCCATGGAAGATAATGGAAATGATTGCTGTACTGCACAAAACAAGTGCAAGCAGAATGCTACTTTGATTCACATGACTATCACGTGTTTACAGCAGCACTGAAATGTATCTGGTTTTTTCAGTTTTCAAAAGTGACTTAGACTTCACCTTAAAATATGATTTTTGTATACTGGTCCTTCTGACAGTTAGCAAAAAAAAAAAAAGGTATTTGCTCTCTTGCTATAGACTCAACAAAAGATGTGCGTTACCCTTTGTGATTTCCCATAGAAGTGCAATTTTTCCTTGAAATAACAAAAACCTACCTACATACTATGCCAGTATTAATATTTTATTTAGAAGTTGTACTTTATCAAATTAACAGTAAAAAATTAAGAAGAATCTCAGACAAGTTTTCAGGACAAGGCCACGTAAAAGAAAGTAATATTTTGGTTTTAAAAATCTCTAATCTTATAGAGCAATTGGTGGTTCATCAGCCATCCTATCACGTTACTTAAAATGGCTTCTCTAATCTTTCAACCAACAATTTACCACTTGTTCACAAAATGCACAAATGCAAAGCTATTTCTGGAAAGACAAGAAAAAAAAAGACAAAGCAAATCTTGGTACGCTCACCTTGGGAATCTATTACAGAACTGACACTGGTTGCAGTAATGATTTTCCACTCGACTGACGTTCCACCTGAGATCATCATCGGTAGGCAACAGGTAGTCACTTTTAGGCTCTGTCTGCCCACCACACCTGCTGCAAGGAAGATTATTTATCCAATGAAAAAAGTCATTCTTAAACCAGTCCAAGAGCTCCAACAACAAGAAGTCCTCTTCATTCACATGTGCACCTGTAAAATTTACACAACACACAGGTTAAATGGAAAAATAATTTAGTTGAACTTTCCAGTATCTGCATAAATCACCAGCTCTGTGCCTTTATTACATTTTAGGAGTCTCATTATATAAAGAGCTTTATATATTACTTAAGTACACACAAAAAAAGAAAATCTAAATTCTCAAGATTGAATAACATCAAACTGTGCATCTAAAGAAAAAACTGCACTCCTAAGCACTACAGCTAGAGTGAGAATAAGGAATTGCTCAGAAAAAACAAGTCAGATATACAGTGAAGCCCACTGAAGTTCCTCATGCACCTCATTCTTCCAGGGATTC